TTGACTGTTCACGACACTTCTGCTGTTTAACTGCTGTGCGTTGGTTTCCTAGGATTTGTAGTTGCCGGGCTTGACGGTACAGGTGAGCCTGCCGAAGCCTTTCTTAGCGTAGAATCTTGGATACTCCTAAACCATGGCTAACTGAGGGAGTGAGGCCACCAAACAACGCCGTGACCTCGGGAAGAAGTGTCTTTAGCCGGATGCAGTACGCCAATGAGCGTGCGCGGCAAGCAGCCACACTGATTAAACTGACGAGAAAAGAAGGGCTTGAAGAAGAGGAGATATAGATGCCCGATGTACTAGAAATGTAACACACAAGAGTGAAAGCTTGGGCTAGTTGGTGCGTAATCATATTTGCAAGATGTTCCAGCGCGCGAACAAAGAAAAAAGGACCGGGTACACAGAAAGAGCGCTGACTTTCAACTAACTTTATTTCACAGAGTGGCAAGAATATATACTGCTAAACAAAGGATGATAACAGAGCATGAAGGTAAAATGCAAGCCTAATCTAGACGTCAGTAACAAAACACGTGTGACGGGTCCTCTATTGCCTCAAAGCCCAGCCAGGTAATCACGTTCAGCCTATGATAAAGCAACCGATGGTGTCCTTGCGCATTTATCTCCTAGCAAGTGTATTTTTTGGCTTCGATAATTTCTAGGGTCAGCTGGTCTCTGTGCCTTGCCAATATTGAGCACTGATCAAAGAGAGGGCTGCACCCACAATCTGGGCAACGAATGCCAAGATGCCCTTGTACCACATTGTGCACAATGTTTTGGTGTTCTCGGAGGCGGTAATTTATGCACCTGCCGGTTTGCCCGACATAGATGCGCCCACACGTCAGTGGAATCAAGTATACGACTCCCTCTGCGTGTCCTGTGCGCGACAGAGCACAAGGCAGAATTTGCACGAGGTGTATTGACCCGTTTGCAAAGCCTCTGCAATTTTTCCGGTGCAGAAAAAACTACAAGAACGTTGGCGTCTCGAGCAATCTCTTTCAGTCTGTGTGAGACATCGTGCACGTAAGGTAGTACGACATGCCGGCTCTTTTGACACTGTTACGCTTATCTGGTTTTTCGCCTCGCTTCACCACAGTGACCAGCCATTCCGCCACCAAAACGAGAATATGCGCGGGTAACCAGCTTTGGTGAGTCGCTCCACTTGTAGAGCAAAGCTGTGGTGTATCATGTGGGGGCAGGACTTCTTTAAGGCGTTGGCAAGGCAGAGGTTAGCAATGCCCCACTTGACCAGTTTAGAGTGAGCTGAGCTGAAAGGCAGAAGTGGCTTGCCGCTTCTTGGTTCACATATCCAGCATACAAGTCAGGATTCTAGCAAAAGCTTCAAATCTAGAAACTTCAGGTTGTTATCAGTGGGTGATTCATAGCTTAGAACTAGTGCTTTCAGGCACTCTCAGAAAACAGTCAACAGGTCAGAGAAATGGTCTGCAAATATTGACTATCGCACTTCAACAACACTAAATAATCACCAACAAAACGGCAAACTTTAAAAACAACAGAATCGTCAAGCTTGTTTGACAAAACACGATCATGATGGGCTAGAAATATGTCGCTGAGAATGCGTGCCAAACATGAACCAATACATATTCCACTTTTTTGTAAGTAGTTTTTGTCTTCCCATGATAAAAAGTGGCCTTCAAATAAAAACTGAGTAATTCTAATAAGCTGCTGTTATGAATTCCAGTACGTGTTTGCAACGCTGATGGTCCTAACCTGTCTATAGATTCCTCTACAAATTTAAGTAGTTGTTCATGCGGCAAAGAGTACTACAAGCCCTTAATATCCACAGACATTGCCTGGAGTCCTGTGTTAGGCCGCGTTCACACGGAGCATTCCGGCCGCCGAAAGTGCTCCGAATCCGGTTCGGCGGCGGCGAGATCCGCCGAAAGGGCCCTCTCCGCGCCGATCGCTCTCGGACCGATTTTTGCGGCGTCTGCCGCCGAATCGGTCACTGCGGACCAATAGGAGCGCTAGTCAAAGAATTTTGAAAAATGGTGGCCAAGCCCTACTCACTTGTTATGGCGCAGTGCACGTAACTGAATGTTGAAACCAACGGGAGTTTAACCTACTCTGTGCCTACTTCGCGTCCGTATTTCGTGGAAGATGTGATCGAGCTTGCTGTTGGCGTGACCGATCTTGTTGCGGTCTTGCAGAGCAAAATGAACCCACCAACGCCGCTGGCGTCGGTGGTTTTTCTGCTCTTCGTGCATTACAAGACAGCCACTTTCCAGCAAAGTAAGCAGTACTGTCTTTTCTTGTTTCTTGCGAACGAGAATCGTCGAAGTATACACCACCGGATAGCGTAGTAGCGTTTGCGAACCGCGACAACAACCGGGTGACAGCGCATCCATCCCGCGTTCGCCCCGTAGTAGATGGCATATTCGGCGGCGCGGGGTGCGTCCAGTGCGAACAACGCTGCGTTTCGGCGGCAGGGGAATTTCGGTCGCTGTAGAAAGTGGATGTTTCAGTGTGAACTAGGCATTAGTTTGCCCAATAATGTCAATAACAGCATCAGAGTTCTTGACCAAAAAAGGGTCGTCAGTTGTTATATTTTTTTAGCTTTTCTTGCAAGAAAAGTGCTACCGACTTTTGCCAGGTCACCCGTTCTGTTACAATGGCCCGCAATGGGCAGTCAATTTGTGAGTTTTCGCAGAAAATAACAGGTCAAGGCTAAGCTTTTTGCAACTATCTATTGCCTTTGAAAGCTTTATGAAACCCCAGGGCCCCGGTGATTGAAGCTATTATTGACTTTATTGGGCGAACTTAGTGTACGTAGTGCACACACGCAAAAAATTGGTTATTACACAACCGCAATGTAACGTTCGTACCCAAGCATAGTGCTTGGCGCTGAGTGAACACGAAACTCTGAAATAAGCATGCTCCTCTAATATCCCCATCATTACGGCAGCTCAGAAGCTAAAAACAAACAAAGAGCAAATACACTTCTATTGATACACCAAGGGTGCGTCTATGACAGCTAGACAGTTTGTGCGTTATGCAGCGAGCTGCCGGCATGATATCTCTAGGAAAACTATCAATTCATTGCCAGTTGTTGTCGTAGAGATAACGCAGTCAAACCGCGATTATTCATCTGCGCACTGAGGTGAAGCGACAATCAGAGGGCGTGTGCGCCCTTTTTTATTATATTTTATTCATTGCTACGTCACTTCAAAAGTCATGGCGGGACTTTTGAATTCTTTAGAGTCGATACGCCACGTGGTTTCGTTGATACGAACTAAGCCGCTGGCGTCCAGAGAAGCTGGACGTGAAAAAAAAAACAGACATCGCACTTCGCGAATAGCGTAAAAGGGACACTAAAGTCAAGTAACAATTTGCGTCAGATTGAAACCTTATTGTATGACAAAGTGTAAAACGGGAATACTATCATGAACAGTGCCATACTTACCGAGAAATCGGGGTAAATGCACAGGAACACATGCGCCGCAGTAGGGCTTTTTTAAGTTGATCCCGATGACGTCAGACGGATCGCCTGTAATTATTCACTAGTAATCAATATAGGTGCACTAAATAAAGAACCTTGCGTGCATCAAGAGACGCAAGAAAGTGCTGCTTGTCTGTTTCTCTTTAATTCATGAGAAAAACAATCGCCGGACATTACTTTGGGGAATGACGCGAATGAATAAAGAATTCATTTTCGTGTAGTGAAGCTGGACAGGGGGTCCCTTCTAACGAGGCGCAGTTGAAGCAAAGACGCTTGCGATCGCGGAGTCAGTGGTGGAAAATTGACTAATTGCTGCTGCTGCTGCTATGGTTCCCGCTTCTCTCGGTCTGCTGCTACTAGCGCAATAAAGCCGGGCGACGTTGTGTACGGCGACGGTGACGTGAGTCGGTTCGGTCAGTCTGCTTTTTTGATGCGCGTAATTTTAAGCGCGCTAATCCAATGCGAACCATTAAAACATAATTTTATTTCAATATACACCGTTCCTTGACACAAACGTAACACTACAAGGTTCCCGCACCGCTATTTCAACAATCAACGGTGACCTAATAGTTGCCTTTATTTTCCCTTTATTGAGTGGGTCGTCCAACAATCCAACCCACTACAAAAGCATGTTCTTGATCATCTATTAACTGTTGCGCATTCCTACTTTAGCCATATTGCCCCATCCTCGTCAGCCATTGCATCAACCTTACACGAAATTCCTTGCGAGTGCTTAGTGGATACTGCTCTTCTCAGAAGAATCGTGAAGGACAGCATAGTGAATGCCGGCCTACTACCGAGAAAAAATTGATTTATTGATTGATATGTGCAGTTTAACATCCCAAAACAACCATATGATTATGAGAGACACCTCAATGGAGGGTTCCAGAAATTTCGATCAGCTAGGGTTCTTTAACGTGCACCCAAATTCTAACGTGCACCCAAATCTACACGGGCCTACAACATTTTTGCCTTCAGCAATCTTGCAGCCACCACAGCCGCGATTTCATCCGCCGTACTGAAGGTCAGCAGCCGAGTACCTTAGACACTATAGAATACCATGGCAGGGCTACCCAGAAATAATCATTATTAACGCCGTAGTGGGTACCCAACAAGTTCCCTTGTAGCAATCATCCAATGAGTGTTTCAAAAAAGCTCTGAAAGGCCATTTTTATAGATTTCACTGTGACTGTGCTGCGCCTTCCGCGCAGGCCTGGCGTTTTTTTAAAGCACCCAGCAAAAATGACGATCAATCAAATAAAACATCACATTGAGGGCGCTAAATCTATTACGGCTAAATCATATACGAATTGTTCGAATGAATAGTTCAATATAATATCCCTACCTAAGACCTACTCTTTCGTAAATACAATGCCTTTCGAGCTTGCTCAGGCCACGACAGCGGCCGAGCCGATGTATGCTAGAGGCATCACTGAGGGCACGCCGAGACGGATTGGGCAGGGTGCAAGGCCCGCTACTTTTCGCATACCTTCATACATGTGGCACCGTTTCACACAAATTTATTCTTTCTTTGAAAGTGATGCTAGGGCTGGCGTGAACACCAAGCCCCACTACCAAAAATTACATGCCCCGCCCATCCCTCTTTGGGACAGCGGCGTGCGTCAGCCATCCTCTGTGCAATGGTTGGCCTCAGCATGGGACCCCGGCCTCAATGATCACCGGAAAGCCCGACACCAAGTAAGTATGCTCACAGAAATGTTAACTGCGCACGTCTGTCCAGGCGCGCATGCTTCTGGAACTGGTCTAGATATACGGTTTTATGCGCGGCACAAAAGAACAATAAAAACTTGAAGTTTCTGTAAGTATATTTTAAGTTGGCAGAAGAGAAAAACCACATAACTTTAAGCTTATACAACGCACAGTTGACTTCTTAGAAAACAGGAGTATGAAAATATAAGCAAATTTCAGGCAAATGGTGCTTCACCAGGACTGAAAGGGCTTCTTAACCACCACGAGTTGATAGGCTTGACAGCAGCTTCTTTGTCGTCTTCATTGCCTTTCCTGAAAGTGCTATCCGTTCGTCGCCATTTATTTCTTTATTAAACGCGTGGGATGTCAGCATGGGTCGTTGAGACAGGATTTCACGCTTTTCCACGCTGCTATCTCAGCTGCCTTAGTCGCTTCTTTAGTGGCAAACTAGGGACGCACTTGGAGCGAAATGGAATCGGTTTATTGCGGGCAATTTGCTATGCCCATGGCCAATTCGCAGCGAGATCGGGCTATAGGTGGCAGCACAGTTCCACAAAAGTGTGGATAGGCGATCGACGGCGCGTACACAAATACACGCAGGGGCACTTCTTAGCGTGCGGTCGAGCCGATTGTCGCGGGAGAGAATGCGTTGACGACAGTTTATTGTTAATATCAGGCAGTCAGTCAGTCAAGGAACTTTATATATTCCTGAGAAGACGAGAATGTCTCTATCATGGGGGTACCGTCTGGGGGCCCCACCCACGATGGCACCGGGAGGTTAAAGCTCTCGGCGACTTCGCAGGCTCTCTGGACAGCCCTTAGCTGATGGTCCTTTGCTGAGCTGGTGATAAGCTGGAGCCAGTCTTCCTCAGTGGAGGAAGACCCTGAGCCCCCGTGCAAGTCGTGACACTGCCACAGCATGTGCTGGAGGGTGCACCTCAGATGACCACAGCACGGACAGCGTGGGTCTATTCCGTCTACGAATTTTGACCAAATAAACGGACATGGATACGTGTTTGTAACATTCGCAGGGTGATTGCCTTTGGTCTGTTTAGGCGTGGGTGTAGAAGCGGAAACTTCCTACGTCCTATCTGATAGTGCCTAGAGACCTCGCAAAAGTGAGAAGAGGGTCCCTTTGCCACTGCCCTGCCTCAGCCTCTGAGTGCCCACTTCTGGCACGGTGTGTGAGACCTCGCGCCTGGGAGTGTGCAAGTTTTTTGGCGTTCGGGGCGGTTTCGTGACCATCACTGCCCACATGACAAGGAAACCAAATTATATAACTTTTGCCTGTCCAAGATGCAGCAGAGAGAACGCGAGCGGCTTCTTTGCACACTGAGCCTTTCATGAATGCTCTAGGGGCGGCTCGCGAGTCCGTGTAAATAATAGAACGGTACGTTGTGGCCATGGTGATGGCCACTGCCACTTGTTCGGCTTTGTCGGCATCCGAAGTTTTGAGCGTAAGTGATGTCAGGAGCTCTCCCCGTAACGACGTAGCTGTTGAAACAAAGTGATTGTAAGCTGCGTGTTGCGCTGTGTCAACGAAGCCGACATTGTCCTCAATCATAGCCGCTGTTCGAAGAAGGGCTTTGGCCCTTGCTTTGCGTCTGCCGCAGTTGTATTGGGGGTGCATGTTTTTAGGTACCTGAGACAAAGTATACATTTCCCTTACTTTAATAGGGAGCGCGCATTCCCTCTGTCTGGCAATGGGAGACTGTATACCAATATGCGTTAGTAACTGTCTGCCAGCCTCCGTGGAAGCCAGTTTTACAACTTGGGCGACTAGTTGTGCCTCTACTATTTCGCTAAAGGTGTTGTGGACACCCAGCGCCAATAAATGTTCGGCACTGGTGCTCTGTGGGAGACCTAGTACCTTTTTATGTTCTTGCGAATTATTGGAGCAGGAGGGATGAAGTCCGATTAGAAAATCGGACTTCATCCCTCCTGCTCCAATTGTGGGCCAGGGCGATGTAGTGGATGTGGCTCATTAGGAAGGCGTGAAAGAGTCTGCGAAGGTTCTCCTCGGATAGCCCCTCTCGTTTGTTGGCCACCCTCGTGATTATTTTTGCCATGGAATTGGCTTTGGCTGTAATGCGTTCTAACGTGTAGGTGTTACTGCCATCCTCCTCCAGGAACACACTGAGGATTCCAACATTCTTTGCGATCGGAATAATAGAGCCGTTCGTTGTGGTGATCAAGATATTGGGGATACTTTCTTTCTTTGTACCAATTGTTGGCCGGTAAAGGAGCAGTTCCGAATTATTAGCCGACAAGCAGAGTCCTGCCTTGTGAAGAATATCTTCAACAACCCTGATCGCTGTTTGTAATCGCTCTTCAATTCACCCATCACTACCTCCCTCGCACCACACGGTGATGTCGTCGGCGTAGAAAGCACGACCGATACTTTCAATCTCGGCCAGACTGTAGGAAAGTGCTCTCAGCGGTAAGTTAAATAGAAATGTGGATAGCACTGCCCCTTGTGGAGTGCCTCTGGGTCCAAGATCAAACGTCTTCGAGCCGAGAGATTCCAGGCGAATGGTAGGTTTTCTATTCTTAAGAAGTGAGCTGATGTAGTTGTAAAAACGGTCTCCTATACCCGCTTCTTTAATGGAATAAAGCATGTGAGAGTGTTTGACCTTGTCGAAGGCCTTTTCCAGGTCAAGTGCCAGAACAGCTCTGGTGTCTCTGGAGACCCTGCCAATGACCCTGTGTTTTAAAAGCAACATTACATCCTGCGTTGACATGAATGGCCTGAATCCAATTCGATTAAATGGAAAAAGATTCTTTTCCTCGGCAAATTTAGTGGCCTGCTTGAAGATAACGTTCTCGGCGACCTTCCCCACACATGAAGTGAGAGATATCGGCCGGAGTGAGCCACGCTCCAGGGGTTTCCTCGGCTTCGGAATGAGGATGACGTTCGCGTCGCACCACTCTATCGGAACCTCGCCGGTCTCCCACACGTCATTGATTTTATTCGTTAGAAGCTTAATATCCTCGTCAGGTAAATTCTTTAAAAGTTTGTTACTGATTCCATCAGGACCCGGAGCTGATCTGCAGTTGAGCTCATATAGAACCTCTCGTACCTCTGCGCACGTGAAGGGGGAACCAAGAGGGTCCGTTCTGTTCTCTGGCAAAGCAGGAGGGTAGTCATTGTGTGAGGCGCGTTCAGTGCAAAGATATCTTGAGGCAAACTGAACGATAACTTTTGTCTCTGTCAGACCAGAGTTCTTTAGGTTGTGGATAAGTCTGTCAATTGTAAGCTGCTGATTGGCTTTGGATTGTTTATCTCCCAGTAGATGTTGGAGGAGGTTCCACTTCGCACCGCTCCTCATTTGCCCATCGACGGCATTGCATACTTCGTCCCATTGCTGTCGAGCTAGCGTTTCACTATGCTCATCCATCTGCCTATTAAGTTCAGCAATTTTTTGCGTAGGCGTTGGTTTAGCTTCTGCGTTTTCCAGTGAGCCTGCAGCACGTTTTTAGCTTCCAGCAGGTGGGCTAATCGACTGTCCATGCACTCTATTTCACTTTCTGTCTCCACTTCCTTTGTGGAAGCAGCAGCTTCTTGTTTGAGGCAGGTGAATAATTCGTTTCTTTCTTTCTTTCTTTATTTTACCCTCAGGGCTTTACAGCATTGTAGAGGGGATGGGCAAAAAGCAAAACATACACGTATTAAGTCAGCCAACGCACAAAAACTACAGAAGATTCAATATTAAGAAAACGAGCAAAAGCAAAACGGGCAAAAGCGAAACGGGCAAAAAGCAAAACATACACGTAAAAAGCCAGGCAACGCAAAAAAGATGCAAAAGATTCAATAATAAGAAAACGAGAAGAAAAAAAAGAGAATGCAGTGTGATATACAAGTTACGAATACGATGAGGAATTATCGCGTGCGCAAAATGAAATTCAATTTACATGGAAGATGACAAGGCCTGACGGAACGCGTCAGGTTCAGTAATACTGGCGGTTGATGCTGACAGAAGATTCCTGTCGCGACATGTGTTAGGAAGGAAACATTGGGAAAAGGTGACTGTGTTACTTCGAGGAATATGCACTTTGTGGGGTGATCTATGCGCGATGATATGAAAGATGCAGGCTGTAATATGCGCGATTTTAGAACGTGATTGTGATAGTATATTTTTTGGAACGCGCAAAGGCGAGCGATTTTTCTACGCATGACAAGCGGAGGGAGATCAAGCCTGACCTTCATGGCAGTTACACTAGATGTTCGATTATAGCTGCAAAGAATGAAACGTGACGACCGGTTTTGGATTGCCTCTAATTTGTTAACGAGTGTTATGTGGCCGGGATCCCATACACATGCGGCGTACTTCAGTAGAGGACGGATGTAGGTGATGTACAGCTGTTCCTTTAAAAAAGTCGGCGCAACAGGAAAGTTTCGTTTTAAGTAACCGAGCATGCGATTAGACTTGGATGTGACGTGATTAATGTGGTCGGACCATGATAGCAAGTTAGTAATGTGAACACCAAGATACTTATAAGACCGGACATATTCAAGAGGGGTTGCGTTCAGGCTGTAGGAATAGTTATCGATAGATGTGTGGTTACGTGAAACTCTCTTTGCTTTACATTTAGAAATGTTAAGTTCCGTTTTTCAAAGGTTACACCAATGTAAAATGTTGTTTAGGTCTGCTTGTAAGGTTTCGTTGTCAATATGATCAGTAATTGTACGGTAAATGACACAATCGTCAGCGAAGAGGCAAATAGGGGAGGATATGTTATTAGGCAAGTCATTAATATAAATTACAAATAGCAGTGGGCCTAAAACAGAACCTTGAGGTATGCCTGAATGCACGGGCACTTTTGAGGAATTAATATTGTTAGTGCAAACAAACTGTGTGCGGTTAGAAAGAAATTATTTTACCCAGTCAAGTAATAAAGGGTCTATGCGCAAGCAATGTAATTTTAGTAGGAGCAGTTCATGGTTAACCTTGTCAAAAGCTTTGGCGAAATCTAGGAAAATACAATTAATAGTTGC